ACATTTCAACTGTTTATTTATGATGTTATCATTGGTCATCAAAAATATTTGGAGATTAGAAACTTTTTTTCCTGCATGTATGTAGGTGTATGTGTGTCTGTGTATGTGTAATACACAAGAATGCTGATGTCTTTGTGAGCTTGCTTACTTATGATTGTATTTCATTGGTCAATATATCATGGACCAACTAACTGATATTACACCCATTATTATGGTACGGCTATATTTTAAATTATGCCTCATTAATAGAAATGTTGTGTTCAACCCAGCATGGCACGCGAATCATCTGCTTGATTTTACTTTGATAATCAACATGGCTACCATAAAGGATTTATCAACACGACGATCTTCTAGATTGTTAGGCTTGCCAATACCGATTTTATATAAGACCCAGCCTGGTGCTTTGATTAGGAGACCAAATTACCCAGATAAGAAATGCGTGAAGGAGTGGGCGCTGAGAGAAATATCATTGTTATTTCAGATAACTGACAGGTTTCATTTTTCCTTCACGGTTTTAGCTCACATAACGATGGGTAACGACGAACATTTTCGTTAGAAAACGGTTTCAGTTGTCCGACTTAATAAAGAGCATCGTCTTACGTGTCTTCCTCTTGTGAGGTTCAAGTTAATAGATTTATAACACTGTATCATTTCAATTCTTTATTCTGGAGCTAATCAGGTTATAGTGTACGACAAGTAAACTGAATATTCATTAGAATTACGACGAGGCGTTGAAAAGTATTCCAAATCAATATTTTAATCAGGAAATATGAGAACACCGATTTTACAACGCTGGTCTGACAGAAAACTATTTAACAAACCTTATATATAGTTTATATTGGATGTATTTAGGAGATATCTTTTAGTATACGTAAATGTGGTTAAAAAACAAGGAAAGTTTTTCTTACGGATTTAGTTATTTGTTTCTAAATTTCGGATCAGTTTTGGCTTTCATGTATATATTTAAATGTAAATAATCCAATCGCTGATTACTTTCGGCTGTCGGGAGCCATTATCAAAGACTCCCTTTCTCTCTCCTCACTACAAACATATACATATATGTGTGTGTGTGTGTTTCTGCGTGTGTGTGTGTGTTTCTGCGTGTGTGTGTATGTGTCTCTCTCTCTCTCTCTCTATATATATATATATATATATATATATATATATATATATATATAGAGAGAGATAGATAGATAAATAGATAGATATGAACATGTTTAAATAGATAGATCCAGGTAGAACTCAATGTCCAGGACAGAGTAAGAATATAATAAAAAGGCTCAAACACTAATATTCCATGGTTATAATTTATTACATTGGAATCGTAATCACGATCCAATTCATCAGACCTATATACATACTTATGTATACATACTTATATATACATACTTATATATACATACTTATATATATATATATATATATATATATATATATAGAGAGAGAGAGAGAGAGAGAAAAAAAAAATCGATTTCTCTCAGTCACTGGCGTGTTTATCTAAGAATAAATACGCTTAAATTCACCTTCAGCCCTGTCGCGCGCCAACGGCTTACGGGTATATTCTCCGATTGACGCCAATTCTGCCGGGTTTCGATACTAGCTAGAGGCAATCGGGCGTCTAGCCACATTTATGAGATGTGGATGGCTATATATATATATATATATATATATATAGCATATGGTTAAATAAACAATTATGAAATGGTATGATGTTCACAAACAGTAGTCATAGAGATTTTTTTTAATTCTTTCATTTTGGTCGTTTCTCCTATCGAATTCTGCTAACATTTATTTTCTCGCACTTCTCGCCCGTGGAACTCTCTTACGGTATCTTGCTTTCCAGCCAAGTTTGATCTTCAAAGATTTAAATTCAATGTCAATCGCTGTCTACTGTTCTCGCTCCGAAATAATGTGTTTTTTGTTTTCTTCTCTCTCCTTAATAATGTTTTTCTCATATTACCTTACAATCCTTAAGCCCTTGCTATTTAGTAGCTTTATTGCATTGCTTGAGGTGAAATGGTTATATATATATATATATATATATATATATATATATATATATCAATAGTATTCCAGTATTCCTCGCTTGAAAATCCTCGGATGACTCAACTTGTTGACACATGATTGCAAATTGGTACCGGAGGAAAAAATTGGAAGTAAAAAAAAGAAAGAACTAAAAACATCAGAACAAGGCGAAACAATCCGTTAAGAGTCTTAAGTCGTTAGTTCAAAGAAAAAACGTAATGGAGTATAAAGACTGGCTTGTTAGGATTTATTCTAATATAATAATAATAATAATGGACTCTCCCGTCGCTTTCGATGTATGAAGATCTGACAGCTTATTGATTCAGTTATGAAATTTTGTACGATAATCTTAAGTGGCATTTAAGTCCCGCTAGTGATTTACAAACGAGACCACATATAAAGCAAGTGTGAGGATTGTGAGACGAGTTCACTGTTACATTTGCTGACCTTTTAGATCTTGCTCTCGTTTCTTGAA